GCTGCTCGACCTCGGTGTCCCGGTCTCGTGCCGTCGACTCTGCCGGGCTGTTGTTTTCTGGCTCGCTCTGTAAAATATAAGCCGGTTTAAGACGGTCTATTGAGACCGTTTTCTCTTTGCCGTGCATACGCACGACAAAGACTTTGTCGCCTCGGCTGATCACCGCGTACGGCCCCTCGTACGGCGCCTGCAACATCTTTTTCGGTCCCTCGTGTCGCACGAACACCTGTTCGGCCGTCGCTAGGTCCTTGTAAATGAACGGCCGTCGCTCCCCGTGCCGGGTGCCGTCCACCGGTCGCAGCTCCTCGAACTGCTCTCTCAGCGTCCTTGCGAAGTCGGCCGCGTCGTCCTCGTTGTCCACAGATCGTCGGCTCAGGAATTGCCCTGGGATCCTCAGCGTCTGGCCGTACACCAGCTCCGCTGCGGTCGCCTGCAGGTCGTCTCTCCACGCTGCTCGGATCCCGAGCAGCACCGTCGGCAGCGCCTCCGTCCAGCGATCATTCTGTCGGCATTTGATTGCCGCCTTGAGCTGGCGATGCAACCTCTCGACCATTCCATTGGCCTGCGGGTGGTACGCCGTCGTCCTCAGGTGCTGCACTCCTGTCATCTCGCTCAGCCGTCGAAAGAGATGGGACTCGAACTGGCGCCCCTGGTCCGTTGTTACTCGCACGGGCGCCCCGAATCTGCAAATCCATCCCTCGTAAAACGCTCTTGCGACCGTCTCCGCTTCCTGGTCTCGTAGTGCGAACGCCTCCGGCCACCGTGTGAAGTGGTCCACGCAGGTGAGGCAATATCGCATGCCCTCTGAAACGGGCATCATGATAATGTCCAGGTGCACGTGCTCGAATCTGCTCGATGGTACTGCAAATTTTCCTAATGGTGCCGAGACATGTCGAGTGACCTTCGAACGTTGACAGGGCACGCATGCACGCGCCCAGCTGCGGCAGTCAGCGTTCATCAACGGCCAGACGTAGCGCTGCGCCACGAGTCTGCCCGTCGCCTTGATTCCTGGGTGTGCCAGGTCGTGCACCAAGTTGAATGCGGCCCGCCGGAAGGGTCTTGTCAAAAACGGTCGCGGTGTCGATGTCGTCGTATCGCAGTAGACTTGTATCCCCGTTCCGGGAATCTGCACTTTCTCAAGTTTTATTCCGGTCCTTCGCCTTGTATAATCGTCGAGTTCTTTGTCAGTCCCGCCAGTGCAGCGTAGTCCAGGGGAGAATTCAGCTCCTCGACTCGTGACAACGCATCCGCCACGACGTTCTCCTCGCCTGTCACGTGCCGGATGTCGGTTAAGAACTGCCCGATGAGGTCCAAGTGGCGGAACTGGCGCGGCGTGCTCTTCTCCGGTCGTTGACGAAAGACGTAGATCAACGGTTTGTGATTCGTGTAGATCACAAACGCGCGCGCCTCCAGCATGTATCGGAAGTGTTTGACCCCCAGGTAGATTGCCAGCAGTTCTCTGTCGAACGCGCTGTACTTCATCTCGGATGGGCTTAGCTTCTTCGAGAAGAAGGCTGACGGCTCCCATCCGTCGCTGCCACGCTGTTGCAAAGTCGCGCCGATGCTCTGCTCCGACGCGTCAGTGAACAGGGCGAGCTCTGCGTCTAATCTGGGGTGTCGCAAGAGCGTGGCCTGTGCCAAGCTCTCCTTCAAATTCTTGAATGCCTCCTGCGCTCGCGGCGTCCACGATATCGCCGCTTTTCCTTTGACGTTGCCGTGGAGGAGATCGTTCAACGGCGCCAGCATTTCGGCAGCTCTCGGCAGGAATCGTCGGTAGAAGTTGAGCATGCCTAGGTAGCGTCGCAGCTCCTTCGCCGTTCCTGGCTCTCGACACGCGAGGATCGCCTCCACACGTGTCGGCAGCGGTCGTGTTCCCCCGTCGGAAACTTCGTATCCCAGGAACTCTACCTTCTGCTGTCCGAATACGCACTTCGCGGGGTTGATGGTCACCCCGTATTCCCGCAGACGTTCGAATACTGCTCTAAGATGGTTTCGATGCTCCTCTTCCGATGTTGACGCGACCAGAATGTCATCGACGTACGCGTAACAAAAGTCTAATCCGCGTAAGACTTCGTCGATGAATCTCTGAAACGTCTGCGCCGCGTTTCTCAATCCGAATGACATGTACGGAAATTCGTACATGCCAAACGGTGTGGTGATCGCCGTCTTCGGAATGTGCTCCTCCGCCACTGGAATCTGGTGGTACACCCGCACCAGATCTATTGTCGAAAATAGTTTTTTTCCTCCGAGGGCCTGTGCAAAATCCTGGATATGTCGCACAGGATACCGGTCCGGAATCGTCCTCGCATTGAGTGCTCTATAATCGCCGCAAGGTCGCCATTCTTCGCCCTTTTTCGGCACCATATGTAAGGGCGCCGACCAACTGCTCTTCGAAGGTCGCGCGATTCCGGTCTCAACCATCCGTCGGAACTCCTTTTTCGCGGCCGCGAGTCGATCCGGAGCGAGTCTTCGCGGTCTGCACGCGACAGGCGGTCCCGGCGTCGTTTCAATAAAATGTCGCGTGGCGTGGATCGTTTCTTGAATTTGTCCGCTCGGCCTCGTAATGTCCGCGTATTCCACCAACAACCGGTGGTACGGCGTCTCCCCTGTGATCGTTTTAATATGCGGTACGTTGCAATGGATACAACGTCCGCGTGCGGTCAAGCTCGTCAGTTGATCGACGAGGCGAGAATTGCGCAGATCTACGAGGAGGCCATAATGCGCGAGGAAATCGGCACCGATTATTGGCTTCGACACGTCCGCAATCACGAAACGCCACGCGAAAGCCCGTCGCAATCCGAGATTCAAAGTTATGTTTTCCGTCCCGTATGTGTATATTGGTGTGCCGTTGGCGGCCGATAACTCGTAGGTCGATCTCTGTCGTGGCCCTCGAACCATCTTTCGAGGGAACACGCAGAGATCCGTGCCCGTGTCAATTAAAAAATTCGTTTTCGTGTTTGTGTCCGTCACGAATAAGCGGCGCGCACTATGTTCCGGGTCGCTTGCCGCCTCTAACGTCCCGTTCCTGCGTTTCCCGGCATCTGCATCGAGCAGGGTGGTCTGCACTGCCGTGCCTCCGCTCCAAACTGCCAATGATACCAGCATACGCCGCTGGCCGGTGGACCACGGCTGCTGGATCGCGCTCGCGGGCGTAAACGTGAACGCGAACGAGGTCGCGAACGACGTCGATCATCGTCGCGATATCGGTTATCACTAATTGATTCCATCGACTTACGTATGGCCGTCAGATGTTCCGCCATCTCTTGCTGCATCGCAAGCCGCATTTGCGCCAGTCGCACCTCCATCCTGGCTTCCTGCATCGCACTTGGGGCCGCCTGCATCGCGATCGGGGCCGCCTGCTGCATCTGCACACGCGGCTGCTCGTACGCCCGCGCCTCCGTCTCCACGCGCGAACCGATCACTCCATCGTCTCGCGTCACAATCATGTCAAATTGTTTTTTTTACTCGCAACTGGTCACTCTCACTTTTCCGGGTCCGATCGAATAGATCGTCTCACCGGTCGTCACAATAAAAATTAAAAAATGTACCGCTCTCTCACGCGAACACAAAAGAATCGCGAATTCCCGCTCGCTCGCGATCACGTCGGGACGTCACCACTTTGGTTATATACGCGCGCGTCGCGATTACTTGGACGCGTCGATACGAGACGGGAATTCAAATAATTGTGAGAGAGGATTTATGGTTAACACTGAATATATTTTAAGAACAATCTTTCAATATCGGTACAGAGATATATAAAGTTCGTGCGGATTAACAAACGTGCGACTGTCCGCGGCGACTGTCGGTAGCGGAATTCTCTAGCATGTGTAACGCTCTTCCTATCGTTCCATAAAAATTCACCTTCGATAGGCTTCGAAAATGTTCTATTCGTTTATTTCTTTTCTGTTGCGTCTCGATGTTTTTCGTCTTTTGTCTCGTCTGTTATATTTTATTTATGTTTATTAGTCAGTGTTCGTATGTATGTATGTCCGTATTTATATACGTGTTTTCGCTATTAATTTCAGGGAAGTATGTGACGATGTAATCGCCACAAAATATATATATATATATATATATATAATATATACGAGGGCAGTCCGATAAGTACTTAGCCTCATCGCCTGATGGTGCCAGTATCGCAAGAGAGTTTTACTATCGTGTAGTACATTCTCGTAGACGGCTACTGTTAAAATTTCAGCCGAATCGGACTTGTAGTTTTGTTTTGACCGCGTGTGGAAAGCGGGCGTGTCCGCGGATTTTAGAAAAATGGAAAAGAGCAATATCGGTCGGTGATTCGATTTCCCTTCCAAAAACAAGAATCGAATCACCGACCGATATTGCTCTTTTTCCATTTTTCTAAAATCCGCGGACACGCCCGTTTTCACACGCGGTCAAAACAAAACTACTAGTACATTCTATATATATATATATATATATATATATATATATATATTTCTTTATAAACATCTTCTACGCATACATACACATACATATATACATACATACATACATATATGCATGGATATAAAGAAATATACTAACCTTTTCATCCAGCCTTTTATAATGTTTTATCATATAATTTTTACTCATTAGCATTATGATTCACGATTAAAGTTAATACAATAATAAAGGAGGGAGCGGTCTGAATTTGTGATAAACAGACTGTTATGTCTTTTCTTAATATTGAACGATATGTTTATTTAATATAAAGTCTTAGTATGTGGATACAAATTATTCCGAGTCGTGAGAAGTTTATTCCTCCGGAAAGTCGAGATGTGCTTCACTCGGTTCTCGGGTACTCTCTGCTCTCTACTTTCCCACGCACCGATCCTCGAGCCCGGCCCTATCGCGATTCCTCTCTCGGCGGAATTTGAATCTACTATCGATAAGCCGCGTCCTCGAATACTCATGAAGAAGCGCGCTATTCGATTCGCGATCCATATACAACATCTCTTCTCCCCGTAATTATTTCAGTGTTACTTCGCCAACACCTCGCAACATCAATATGAGAAGTAATCACCGAAACGATCCGGTGGTTTGCGCTTACGCTCTGGCCGTTCTCGGCTCGATACTGACGCCGGTGGTACTTCAGGGTGAACAGCTTGATCTGGCGCCTCCTCCTCAACATCGGATGTCCCTTCCTGAACCTCTCGTTGTTCAGAAAGTTCCGAGGATACAGTCAATGATCTCTCTCTCTCTGATAACGCGGGTAATGGTTCACGAAACTCGTTTCCATCCTGATTCTGATTAATAATCGGGCCTACACAATCCCACGCTTGGATTTGAGAGTTATCGATAACCGCCGGACCTACTGCTCGCATCTGATTCACATGACGTTTCCATATTTTGTTATTTGACAATTGAACTTTATAATGTAATCTTCCTAGTTTCTCAATGATTATTCCAAACCTCCATTTGATATTTTTATCTAGATACTCGCGTACTGCGACTCTCTCTCCTACCTCAAATTGTTTAATTTTTGTTAATGATGTCGCAATATTTTCGCTTTCATTTCTCCGCTCTGTTCGAGGAAAGATCAAGTTTAATCGGCTATTTAAATTTCTACCAAACATTAATTCCGCTGGCGATTTCTTACAATCCTGAAGTGGTAATAATCTATAGTAAAATAACAATTTTTGTACATTACGTTTAACATCTTTATCAGTTACGCTTAATTTCCGCAATCCTTGTTTTAATGTTTGTACAAACCGCTCTGCTAATCCGTTTGTGGCTGGATTATATGGTGCCGTGCATTTATGAAAAATACCATTTTGTTTAAGAAAATTTTTAAATTCCTTAGATATAAAGGTTCGGCCATTGTCCGATACCAATACTTGTGGTAGTCCAAATGTTGTAAAAATGTCTCTACATTTTTCTATTGTTCTTTCTGCGGTTATATTTTTCATAATATGCACTTCGGGCCACCGTGTATACGCATCGACAAGAACTAAAAAATTATATCCCATAAACGGTCCTGCAAAATCTATGTGTACTCGTTGAAACGGTTCTATCGCTGGTTCCCAACGATGTTTAATTTTAACGCTTCCCGGATTGTTACTAAACGTGTTACAAATTTTACAATTTTTTGCTAACATTTCAATTTCTTTGTCTAATCCAGGCCACCAACAAAAATTCCTGCTCAAATTTTTCATTTTTACACAACCAAAATGTCCTTCATGTAATTCTTCTAAAATACGTTTCCTTAAAGATTTTGGAATTACCACTCGCTCTCTTCTAAAAATTACATTGTTTTGTAACGTGAATTCATTATCTTGATAACCCAGGGGTACAAGACTTTCCCCTTTTTCTAATGCTTCCGCTATTTTTAACAACGCTTCATCTTTACGGATTTCTTTACAAATTTCTTTCGCTGTTACTGGTAGCGTTTCCAAGTTTTCCATTAAAAATATATCTATCGGATCATATTCCCCTACACGCTTTTCTGCAACTGGTAGTCGCGAAAATCCATCCGCATTGCTGTGCTCACTTGACTTTTTATATTTAATTTTAAAATTGAACGCTTGCAAAAATACCGCGTAGTGCTGCATTCGCATTGCACTATATGCTGGTAAGCCTTTCTGTGGATTGAAAATCTGCGCTAGTGGTTTATGATCCGTTACTAATGTAAAATGATTTCCATATAGAAATTGGTGAAATTTTTTAACGCCAAAAATAATCGCATACGCCTCCTTATCTATTTGTGCGTATTTTTTTTGTGTATTCGTAAGCGAATTTGAGGCGCATTGAATAATTCTCTCGCTTCCGTCTGGGTATGTGTGTGATAAAACTGCACCTACTCCGTATGGGCTAGCATCGGTGGCTAAAACTAATGGCAACTGTGGATCGAAAGGAACTAATATTTTATTTTTTTCAAATTCAGCTTTAGCTCTTTTAAAAGATACTTCACAATCTTTAGTCCATTTAAAGGAAACGTTTTTTTTAAGTAGATTATTCAAAGGACGTAAAAGATCACTCAAATGTTCAATAAATCGACCGTAATAGTTAATTAATCCTATAAATGCTTTTAATTCTGTAATGTTATTAGGTCTAGGCATTTTTCTTACTGATTCAATTTTCTGTTTCTCTTTTGAAATTCCGTTTTTACCGATTACATATCCGCAATAATTAATACTATCTTTTAAAAATTCACTTTTTTCCTTATTAATGCGTACGTTATGTTTCGATAATTGTTTAAAAACTAACTCTAAGCGTTTAATATGTTCATCGAAATTTTTCCCCGTAACTCTTATATCATCTAGAAATACTGCAACTCCTGGAATTCCATTCAAAATGTTCTCTATCGTTCGCTGCCATATAGCTGGTGCCGAAGCTATCCCGTACATTAAACGGTTACTTCTATACAATCCCTTATGTGTATTTAAAGTTACAATTTCTTTATCTTCTTCTGTTAACGGCAATTGTAAATACGCTTGCTTTAAATCAATTTTAGAGAAAATTTTTCCTCCAGACATCGACGCAAAAAGTTCATCAATAGTGGGTAAGGGGTGTTCATCCACAATTAACAACGGATTTACTGTGACGCTAAAATCGCCACAAATTCTAATTTGTCCGTTTTTTTTAGTACCGGTACTATTGGCGTAGCCCATCTTGAAGATTCAACTTTTTCTAAGATTCCCGATTGAACCATACTTTCCAATTCTGCTTCTACTTTTTCTTTTAATTTAAATGGGACTGCCCGACTTTTTAAAAATACCGGTTTCGCATTTTCTTTTAATTTTAACCGAGCTTCTACTTTACTCATGGATGGGAACTCCTCACTCACAATATCAGAATATTTCTGAAATAACAATTCTAATTTATTTTGATCACGAATTTCTAGTGATTTAATGTTTTCAATTTCTCTTAAACTCGATTTTACTTTTTCTAACATTCTAACTGGTTTATCCACTCACGACCTAGTAAAGGACTTCTATCATAACCAACTACATACATATTCAATTCGCGTATACAATCAACATCACGTACTTTAACCTTGACAAACCCTAACGGCGCAAAATTCTGTTTACAATAAGATCGCAATCTTAATTCTGTCTTTTGTAAAACTGACCGCGGAAATACTTTTTTTAACCATTTTTCACTCACCAGAGTGACCGCGGCTCCGCAATCTACCTCGAAAGTAACTCGTCGATTTTCCAGATAGAGAGAGACCATGTACTTATCCCGAAAATGCGAATGCTCCAATTCATCTAATCGAAAAACTTCCTCCAATAATTGAGCTTTGCCTTTCTTTTTGCAGACTTTCTGCAAATGGCCAAAACCGCCGCATTCATGGCACTTCACGTGTCGAGGAAGAGTGCAATCCGGCGCCAGATGATTCTGTCCACACCTGTAACAAGAAACGTTATTAATTTTTGAATTATGTGAGAAATGTGTTTTGAGTTTATTATTATTCCCGTTAAACGCATTTGTCCTTTTTCCAGATTTGTAGTTCTTCTGGTGACCCTTCGATTTAATCTCTTTGTCCGTCATTTTCTTCTTCGCCTTGCCGCTTGATCCGACGAAATCGACTGCCACTGCAGCTTCTGCTTTTAATTCCGTTACACCTTTTTCCGCTAACTCCATACCGCTAGCCGTTTTCAAAGCTGATTCCATCGTCAGGTTTGCTGTCTCCAAAAGTCGCCCTTGGATACGTTGATTCCGTAGTCCATAAACAAATTGATTCCTGAGCTCCGTCTTCAAATATTCGCCAAACTTGCAATATAAAGACAGCTTCTGCAACGCGGCCATGTACTCTTGAGCATTTTCTTCCAGTAATTGTAGTCGTTTCCGGAAAACAAAAATCTCCGCTATTTCTAACGGCTCCGGAGCGTAATATTCTTTTAATTTATTGAGTAAATTATCGTAAGGCAATAAATACGGATCTTGTGGATCCAAACGATCACAAAGAATTCCGAATGCCTCTACGCCAAGAAAATGTAATAAATAAGCAACTTTTTCTTGCTCTCCTTGAATTTTAAAAACGCGGAAAGCTCCTTCTAATCGTTGCAACCATCTTCGAAACGTTTGCTGCTTAGGATCAAAAAAATCCACATTAATGGTATCACGACTTACAGTTTGTCCCGATACTTGACCGGTGAACTGTCCAGGATTTGTATTTCCTGAAGTTTCTGGACCCCGGGTTTTATCCCCTTCTAACGGCATCGTCGTCTTAACGGAACCGTCCTTCTAGAAAATTCTATGCCACGTGTTCACTAATCCACGTTGCTTCACACGTACATAACACGTGCTCTCCCAATTCACTTTTCACTCCGAAAATCAGTATCCCATCCTCGTCGCCAACTGTTATGTCTTTTCTTAATATTGAACGATATGTTTATTTAATATAAAGTCTTAGTATGTGGATACAAATTATTCCGAGTCGTGAGAAGTTTATTCCTCCGGAAAGTCGAGATGTGCTTCACTCGGTTCTCGGGTACTCTCTGCTCTCTACTTTCCCACGCACCGATCCTCGAGCCCGGCCCTATCGCGATTCCTCTCTCGGCGGAATTTGAATCTACTATCGATAAGCCGCGTCCTCGAATACTCATGAAGAAGCGCGCTATTCGATTCGCGATCCATATACAACACAGACAAAAAATTATTAATAGATTTAATAAGGAAAACAATTAGATATTTAAAGACAAGGCTCGTGTGATATTATAAAATTAAGATTTAGAAAGACAGGGCCAACTATAACGAGCATATTAAATTAGTGAGAGGTGTAATGTCAACACATAATTGATTTATTTCTTAGTAGATACAATAATAATAAAAATAATAAAACGTTTCGGCTGTTACCTCAGCCTTCTTCAGTAAATATAAAAACAATAAAAATTCTTTTAAGAAAAATTATGACATATTACGCATTAGAGTCTATTTTTTAATGAACATTTTGGTTTAATGAGTCGATGAATTTAAATTGGGTTACGCTTATAACATTTATTAAATTAGATATTTTTTCTAATCGGCTAACCATTTTTTAGTTAAGATGGTAAACTTTTTGATTATGTCAAAAAACATGTAAACGAGTTCCCTGTTGTTAGTAGAACAGGTTGACGGTCCATTCCACGTCATCAATTCTTTTGAACATTATTAGTTAAAATTATCGTCAGAACCGCTTGATATGAGAATTGAAAACAATTAGATGTTATCCAGCATCAAAAAGTTAGTCCCCATCATCAAGGATATTTCCGAGTAAGTTCGTCATTGCAGTATATTTCACCGTGATTGTCTAAGTGTATTTTTATTTTTTCGGTATATTAATTTATATTAATAAGTTATTTTTTTATGTGAAAGATCTTAATTGTGATTAGAATTGCTTACTTCAATTGATGAGTAGTCAAGATTCCGTCAAGTTGATGTGTTCACTATACAAAGTCACAGTATGATGTGTCGAGTTGTTTTCAATTCTCATATCAAGCGGTTCTGACGATAATTTTAACTAATAATGTTCAAAAGAATTGATGACGTGGAATGGACCGTCAACCTGTTCTACTAACAACAGGGAACTCGTTTACATGTTTTTTGACATAATCAAAAAGTTTACCATCTTAACTAAAAAATGGTTAGCCAATTAGAAAAAATATCTAATTTAATAAATGTTATAAGCGTAACCCAATTTAAATTCATCGACTCATTAAACCAAAATGTTCATTAAAAAATAGACTCTAATGCGTAATATGTCATAATTTTTCTTAAAAGAATTTTTATTGTTTTTATATTTACTGAAGAAGGCTGAGGTAACAGCCAAAACGTTTTATTATTTTTATTATTATTGTATCTACTAAGAAATAAATCAATTATGTGTTGACATTACACCTCTCACTAATTTAATATGCTCGTTATAGTTGGCCCTGTCTTTCTAAATCTTAATTTTATAATATCACACGAGCCTTGTCTTTAAATATCTAATTGTTTTCCTTATTAAATTTAAATAACGCAGGCCTTATAATGCGTAATAATCTCAGTAACATTAATTATCGTAAATTATACTATGATTTTGGATTTATCCAGAAACACTATGGTGAATACACATTTTACAACCTTAAAAAATGGATTAACGCTAATTACAAACTCCTTGAAGCAAGATCTAAATTGTATTTTCTAAAGTCTTGCATGAACCATGAGATCTTACCGTCGCATTTAACCAACATTGGAAAAACACAATTTAACATTCACAATTATAAACTAATAAATAAATTGACAAGAATACAGCACAAATTCAAAACAGAAATTTTAAAAATAGAAATTTATGATCTGTACAGAGTTGTTGACACTTTACAAAGAGAAATATTACAATTTTTACATAAGTTATCCATTTCTATCCCAGTTTATGTATGGCAATCAATAATTATATATCAAAGAAAATCCTTTAACAAATGCAAAGAAAGATTATATAGGTCTCATTTAAAGAAATTCCTGTGGTTAAAAAACAAAAAAATTAGTGATCATATGAAAAAAATTCAACCTATTCATTATTTTTGCAGGTTAAATAAGGAAACATCCCCAGATAGCACAAGACGTCCTATGGACGTACATTTTATATCCATTTTACGTATGTACGTCCATGGACATGAAATGAACGTCCATTGTACATCCGATTTCGGACATCCATCAGTGACTAATATTTGGACGTCCACAGGATGTCCATCAAATTCTCTTACAGCACGAAATATTGCTAAAATATTGCATAAATATTTTATTTCATTGTATCATAATAAATATTGAAGCAACATTGTGCAAATATTATAAATTTAATATTTTATTGGAGACATTGCAAAATATACTATGCAATATTATCTTGTAATAGTTCCTTCATTTGCCGCTATGCGACGCAAGATTCGCTGTTCATCTCGCTATTAAATTTAGTTAAGAGAATTATAAAGCGCATGCAAAAAGTGGCTATTACAGTTAAATATGTTATAATTATTCTGATCAGTTTAACCTTTCTGATACTATCCCAACACAAAAAATTTAGATATTGAATTAATTGAAAAAATTGAACAAATAAAAATTCGGATAAATAAAATGCGAAAATAAGAAATATTCTGCAATATTTTATGATTAGTATAAAAATGAATTAATTTTGCATGTCAAATTTATTATTGCTTATAAATTTCTTCTTTATGAATTTTAAATGTCATTTTCAATGATATACATGTATAATAAAGAACCAAAATATGTTTATTAAAGATTTAAAATTTATTTATAAAAGATCCAAAATTCGTCCATTAGATCCATAATTAGTTTATATGAGATCCAAAATTTGTCCGTTAGATACATAATTTATCCATTTAAAATCCATAAATGACCAATAATGGACGACTTATGGACGTCCAGACCAGTTGCAAACGGACGTACAATGGACGTCCCTTGTACGTCCGCTCCAGGTAATCTGGACATCCGATGGATGTACACAATGTCCGGATCTGACATCCGTTGTACGTACATAGGATGTACTTGTGCTTATTGGGATCACAACCAATCAAATATACTAAAAACTTAACCACCAAGAGTTCTAATAAAACAATCATAGACATCCATATTGATCCTAAGTCCTCTATTATTAATGATATTGACCCATTAAATAAAACTAATAATAAATGGTTCATTAATTTAACGAACACAGAAATCCCACTAAAAGTATCTAATCTTTTACAAATGGGTAGTAATTTCAATCTTCCCATCTCCAACAAAAAAACTGCCATACATGAATTTATCAAAGATTTGGTAGCTAATGGAAAAAGAAATAATTTACAAAACCTCAGAACTATTAGGAATATTGCAATCCCCCAATTTAATCATTATCTACATAATTTTCACAAAAAGAATTTAATAAACGAAAAAATCACTGATATGTACAATACCACAGTAAAATTTTGCAGAGAAAACAACAATATAATATTTACGCGATCTGACAAGGGTAATGTGACAGTTGCAATGGAGAGGGATTTTTACAATAATAAAGTAACTGAACTTCTTACAGATGTTAACACTTACTGCGTGGTCAATAAGAATCCAATCTTAAAAATTGAAAGAGAACTCAATTACACTATCAAAAATTTGCTAACAAAAGGATATATTTCAAAAAAAGAATATTATTTTATGCACTCTAGTGATTCCATACTACCGAAAGCTTACGGTCTCCCTAAAATTCACAAACAGAACATTCCTTTTAGAATTATTGTATCATTTATTAATACGGCTCTTTACAATATAGCCACATATATTCACAATGTATTGTCACGAAGCCTTCCCCCACCAAAAAGCCATATAAATAATAGTTTTGAATTGTGCAGGATTCTTACGGGAAAAAAGTTAAGGAATTCAGAAATAATGATATCATTAGATGTTATCTCTCTCTTCACTAATGTACCTATCAACCTTGCGATTAACAGTGTTAATAATAGATGGGAGTATATTAAGTCACAGACAAAAATTCCAAAAGAACAATTTATTAAATGTATAGAATTTGTTCTGTCATCTACATATTTTACATTTAACAATATAATTTATAAACAAATTTTCGGCACCCCCATGGGATCACCATTATCGCCCATAATAGCTGACTTAATAATGGAAGATTTGGAAAATTCTGTTCTTGACTTGATTAATATCGACATCCCATTTTATTATAGATACGTTGATGATATCATTATGACAGTTCCTGAAGAGAAGGTTGATTTGATTGTGGATTCTTTTAACAAATACCATGACAGACTCAAATTCACATTGGAATATGAGGATAACCGTTGTTTAAATTTCTTAGATGTATCATTGAAATTAATTAACAATACCATTTTTGTTGATTGGTTTCAGAAAAAAACATTTTCTGGAAGAACTCTTTCCTATTACTCTAACCACCCTTTTTGCCAAAAAAAAGCATTATTTATAACTTAGTAGATAGAGCTCTTCTTCTTTCACATCCAGAATTTCATAATAAGAATATAAATTCAATCATAACTATTTTACGTAACAACGGTTATCCTTTAGAATTTATTTTCTCCGCTATTAATCAAAGAATTAAGTATCTTATTAATTCCAAACTAAATATCTTGACTAATGATAATAATATTACTAAGGTTCCTAAAATAGATGGAGATAATGAAAAAAAGAATTTCTTTGTTATTCCTTATGTGAATAGCATTTCTGACAAAATTGCA